ATTCCCAGTATCCCCAGTACTCCACTGCTCCCAGTACTCCAGCCCTCCCAGTGCTCCCAGTATTCCCAGTATTCCCAGTTCTCCCAGTGCTCTGCTGCTCTCAGTTCTCCCAGCACTCCCAGTACTCAAATGCTCCCAGCACTCTCAATACTCAAACACTCCCAGTATTCCCAGTATCCCCAGTACTCCACTGCTCCCAGCATTCCCAGCCCTCCCAGTATCCCCAGTACTCCACTGCTGCTAGTATTCCCAGTACTCCTGGTACTCCTAGCAGTCCCAGTACTCAAACACTCCCAGCACTCTCAATACTCAAACACTCCCAGTATTCCCAGTATCCCCAGTACTCCACTGCTCCCAGCATTCCCAGCCCTCCCAGTATTCCCAGTATCCCCAGTACTCCACTGCTGCTAGTATTCCCAGTACTCCTGGTACTCCTAGCAGTCCCAGTACTCAAACACTCCCAGCACTCTCAATACTCAAACACTCCCAGCATTCCCAGTATCCCCAGTACTCCACTGCTCCCAGTATTCCCAGCCCTCCCAGTATTCCTGGTACTCCCACTATCTCCACTATTGCCACTACTCCTATTACTCCGAGTATTCCCAGTATTCCCAGTTCTCCCAGTGCTCTGCTGCTCTCAGTTCTCCCAGCACTCCCAGTACTCCTAGCAGTCCCAGTACTCAAACGCTCCCAGCACTCTCAATACTCAGACACTCCCAGTATTCCCAGTATCCCCAGTACTCCACTGCTCCCAGTACTCCAGCCCTCCCAGTATTCCCAGTATTCCCAGTACCGGGGTTCCTGCAGGCCCTGCCCTACTTTGACCGCCTGGACTACGTGTCCATGATGTGCAACGAGCAGGCCTACGCCCTGGCCGTGGAGAAGCTCCTCAACATCCGGCCCCCTCCCCGGGCTCAGTGGATCCGAGGTGAGGCTCCCACCAGCATTCCCAGCTCCCTGGACCCCCCAGGATTTATGGGATCACCCCCTTTTTTCCCCTTTTTCCCCCCGTTTTTTCAGTTCTCTTCGCCGAGATCACGCGGCTGCTGAACCACATCATGGCGGTGACCACGCACGCGCTGGACATCGGCGCCATGACCCCGCTGTTCTGGATGTTTGAGGAGAGGGAGAAGGTGGCTTTGGGGGGATTTGGGGTTCGGGGGGGTGCGGTTTGGGGGTGTGGAGGTGCCAGGGGGGCTGAGCAGCAGCGGGGTCCCCTCTGTCCCCCCCCAGATGTTCGAGTTCTACGAGCGCGTGTCGGGGGCGCGGATGCACGCGGCCTACGTGCGGCCCGGGGGCGTGCACCAGGTGAGGGGCTGGGCCTGCTCCCCTTCCATGGGCACCCCATTTCAGTGGGAACCCCATTCCTGGGATCCCCATTCCCTTGGGCACCCCATTCCTGGGATCCCCATTCCCATGGGCACCCCATTCCTGGGATCCCCATTTCCTTGGGCGCCCCATTCCCATGGGCACCCCATTTCAATGGGAACCCCATTGCTGGGATCCCCATTTCCTTGGGCGCCCGATTTCCATGGGCACCCCATTCCTGGGATCCCCATTTCCTTGGGCACCCCATTTCAATGAGAACCCCATTCCTGGGATCCCCATTCCCATGGGCACCCCATTTCCATGGGAACCCCATTCCTGGGATCCCCATTCCCACGGGCACCCCATTCTTGGAAACCCCATTCCTGCAGGAACCCCTTCCATTGGAACCCCATTCCCATGGGCACCCCATTTCTGGGATCCCCATTATTTCCCTGGGAACCCCATTATTTCCCTGGGAACCCCATTCCCTTGGGACCCCACTCCTGTGCTGCCCCCATCCTTGGCACCCCATTCCCCTGGGATCCCCCAATCCCTGGGACCCCTGCTCAGTGTGAGCCCCCTGCCCACATCCCTGGTGCCACCTGAGCTGCCACCTGTCCTGTGTGTGCCTCCTGTCCCACCTGTCCTTTGGATCCCACCTGTCCCAATCCCACCAATCCCACCTGTCCCACCTGTCCCAATCCCATCAATCCCATGTGTCCCACCTGTCCCAATCCCACCAATCCCACCAATCCCATGTGTCCCACCTGTCCCAATCCCACCAATCCCATGTGTCCCACCTGTCCCACCTGTCCCAATCCCACGTGTCCCACCTGTCCCAGGACCTGCCCCTGGGGCTCATGGATGACATCTACGAGTTCGTGAAGAACTATTCCATCCGCATCGACGAGGTGGAGGAGGTGAGGGGGGATCTGGGGACAGCCAGGCTGCTGTCACCTGTCACCTGTCACCTGGGAGGGACAGGGTCATTCCTCACAGCATGGCGGGATGAGGTGACACAGATCGGGGTGGAGGGGGACAGGGACAGGTGAGGGGTGTGAAGGGTGCCAGGGACAGGTGAGGGGTGCACAGGTGATGGTGCCAGGGACAGGTAGTGTGAGCCCCCTGCCCACATCCCTGGTGCCACCTGAGCTGCCACCTGTCCTGTGTGTGCCTCCTGTCCCACCTGTCCTTTGGATCCCACCTGTCCCAGTCCCACCAATCCCACCTGTCCCACCTGTCCCAATCCCATCAATCCCACCTGTCCCACCTGTCCCAATCCCATGTGTCCCACCTGTCCCACCTGTCCCAACCCCACCAATCCCACGTGTCCCACCTGTCCCCCGTGTCCCACCTGTCCCAGGACCTGCCCCTGGGGCTCATGGATGACATCTACGAGTTCGTGAAGAACTATTCCATCCGCATCGACGAGGTGGAGGAGGTGAGGGGGGATCTGGGGACAGCCAGGCTGCTGTCACCTGTCACCTGTCACCTGGGAGGGACAGGGTCATTCCTCACAGCATGGCGGGATGAGGTGACACAGATCGGGGTGGAGGGGGACAGGGACAGGTGAGGGGTGTGAAGGGTGCCAGGGACAGGTGAGGGGTGCACAGGTGATGGTGCCAGGGACAGGTGATGGTGCCAGGGACAGGTGAGGGGTGCACAGGTGATGGTGCCAGGGACAGGTTGCAGGTGTGAGAGACACCTGAGGGGGACAGGGAACAGGTGACGGTGCCAGGGCCAGGTGAGAAGTGCAGGGCAGCTGCCAGGTGTGCCAGGCAGGTGCCAGGTGTGCCAGGTGTCCCTGGTGTCCCCAGATGCTGACCAACAACCGCATCTGGAAGAACCGCACCGTGGACATCGGCGTCATCACGGCCGAGGAGGCCCTCAACTACGGCTTCAGGTGAGCTGGGGGGATCCCCCAGGTGTGCCCCGCCCCGCGGGTGGGCGGGGCCGAGCTCAGGTGCACTTTTTGGGGTGTCCCAGCGGGGTGATGCTGCGGGGCTCCGGGATCAAGTGGGACCTGCGCAAGACGCAGCCCTACGACGTCTACGACCAGGTGGAGTTCGACGTGCCCATCGGCTCCCACGGCGACTGCTACGACAGGTACGGCCTCACCTGCCCTGGGGGGCTGCCCCCCGTCCCCCCCGGGGCTGCCAGTCCTGGGGGGCTGCCCCCCGTCCCCCCCGGGGCTGCTGCGGATCATCCTGCAGTGCCTCAACAAGATGCCGCCCGGCGAGATCAAGGTGGACGACGCCAAGGTGTCACCCCCCAAACGCGCCGAGATGAAGGTGACGTGTCCCCAGACCCCCGCTGCAGGGGTGGCACCCAGGGCTGGTGGCACTCAGGGCAAATGACACCCAGGGCAGGTGGCACCAAAGGCCGGTGACACCCAGGGCAGGTGGCAGCGCTGCAGTGCCACCCAGGGCAGGTGACACCAAAGCCTGGTGCCACCAAGGGCTGGTGGCAGCGCTGCAGTGCCACCCAAGGCAGGTGGCACTCAGGGTAGGTGACACCAAAGCTTGGTGCCACCCAGGGCAGGTGACACCAAAACCTGGTGCCGCCCAGGGCAGGTGACACCAAAACCTGGTGCCACCCGGGGCAGGTGACACCAAAACCTGGTGCCACCCGGGGCAGGTGACACCAAAACCTGGTGCCACCCGGGGCAGGTGACACCAAAACCTGGTGCCACCCGGGGCAGGTGACACCAAAACCTGGTGCCACCCGGGGCAGGTGACACCAAAACCTGGTGCCACACAGGGCAGGTGGCAGCGCTGCAGTGCCACCCAAGGCAGGTGTCACTCAGGGTAGGTGACAATGCCTGGTGCCACCTCAAAGCCTGGTGCCACCCAGGGCAGGTGACACCAAAGCCTGGTGCTGCCCAGGGCGGGTGCCAGCTCTGCAGTGCCACCCAGGGCAGGTGACACCAAAGCCTGGTGCCACCCAGGCGGGTGCCAGCTCTGCAGTGCCACCCCTGTCCCCACAGACGTCCATGGAGTCCCTGATCCATCACTTCAAGCTCTACACCGAGGGCTACCAGGTGCCACCCGGGGCCACCTACACGGCCGTCGAGGCCCCTAAGGTGACACTTCCCGTGTTTGTCCCTGGCGCTGGCTCTGCCCCAACCCTGTCTCCATGTCCCCAACCCTGTCTCCATGTCCCCAGCCCTGTCCCCATGTCCCCAACCCTGTCTCCATGTCCCCAAGCCTGCTCTTGTGTCCCCAGCCCTGCTCTTGTGTCCCCGTGGCCTCAGTCATGTCCCCAACCCCATTCTCATGACCACAGCCCTGTCCTTGTGTCCCCAAACCTGTCCCCATGTCCCAGTCCATGTCCTCAACCCTGTCTGCTACCCTGTCCCCTTGTCCCCAGCCGTGTCCCCAACCCCATCCCTGTGTCCCCAGCCACATCCCCAACCTTCTCATCCTGTCCTTGTGTCCCCGACCCTGTCCCCAGCTGTGTCCCCATTGTCCCCACAGGGGGAGTTTGGGGTGTACCTGGTGTCCGATGGCAGCAGCCACCCTGTCCCCATGTCCCAGTCCCTGTCCCCAGCCCTGTCCCCATGTCACCAGCCCTGTCAATGTGTCCCTGACACTATCCCCAGCCCTGTCCCCGTGTCCCCAACCCTGTCCCCATGTCCCACAGGGGGAGTTTGGGGTGTACCTGGTGTCCGATGGCAGCAGCCGTCCCTATCGCTGCAAGATCAAAGCGCCCGGCTTCGCCCACCTGGTACGGCCTGGGGACACCTGGGGACACCTGGGGGACACCTGGGGACACCTGGGCACAGTGGGGGACACCTGGGGACACCTGGGATACACCTGGGGGACACCTGGGGACACCTGGGGGACACCTGGGATACACCTGGGGGACACCTGGGGGACACCTGGGCACAGTAGAGGACACCTGGGACATGCCTGGGATACACCTAAGGGGCACCTGGGGATACCTGGGGGATACCTGGGGCACACCTGGGGGACACTTGGGGGACACCTGGATACAGCTGGGCACACTGGGGAACACCTAAGGGACACCAGGGGATACCTGGGTACACCTGGGATACACCTTGGGGACACTTGGGGACATCTGGAGGACACCTGGGGACAGCTAGGCACACTGGGGAACACCTGGGGATACCTGGGGACACCTGGGATACACCTTGGGGACACCTGGGGACATCTGGGGGACACCTGGGGACAGCTAGGCACACTGGGGGACACCTGGGCACACTTGGGGACACCTTGGGGACACCTGGGGACATCTGGGGGACACCTGGGGACACCAAGGGCTCAGGGGACGTGGGGACAAGGGACACTGGAGGGTCCCTAGGGATGTGTTGCAGTGGGGGGTAGGGAGGGTAATTAACCCCTGCGGGTTAATTGGGATGTTGGGGGTCCACGTGGGGGTCCCTGGGGTTAATTAGGGGTTAACTGGGGGTCCCTGGGGTAGTTCCCATGGGTTAATTTGGCATTAATTAGGGGTTAATTAGGGATTAATTAGGAGTCACCATGAATTAATTAGGGGTTAACTAAAGACCCTTTTGGGGGTGGAGTTCTCCGTGGGTTAATTGCATGCTAACTAGGCGTTAATTGCAAGCTCTCTGGGTTAATTGGCTATTAATTAGGTGTTAATTAGGTGTTAATTGGGTGTTAATTGGGCTTCCCCAGGCCGGGCTGGACAGGATGGCCCAGGGCCACATGCTGGCAGACGTGGTGGCCATCATTGGTACGTCCCCCTCCCCTTTTGGGGGTCCCTCCCCCCTTTTTGGGGGTCCCTTCCCCATTTTTGGGGTCTCCTCTGGTTCTCTTGGGTTTTTTTTCCCCATTTTTGGGGCTCCTTCCCCATTTTGTGGGATCTCTTCCCTTTTAGGGTTTCCCTCCCATTTTGGGGGTCACTTCCCCCATTTTCCCCTCTTGGAAGCCTCCTTCCCTGTTTTGGGGGGGCTCCTTCCCAATTTGGGGGGGTTCTTGCCCAGTTTGGGGTCCCCTTCCCCACCTTTGGGGGTTTCCTTCCCCATTTTGGGGGTCTCCCAGTTTTGGGGTCTCTTTATCCTTCCCTACATCCATTTCCCAATTTGGGGGGGGTCCTTCCTCAGTTTGGGGTCCCCTTCCCCACCTTTGGGAGTCTCCTTCCCCATTTTTTGGGGGGGTCTCCCTCCCTCTTTAGGATTTCCTTCTGTTTTTAGGGTCTCCCTCCCTTTTTGGGGTGCTCCTTCCACTTTTGGGGTCTCCTTCCCCTTCCCAATTTCGGGGGGGGGGGGGGGGTTTTCTCCCCAATTTGGGGGTCTCCCCCCATTTTGGGGTGCCCTGACCCCCTTTTCCCCCCGCAGGCACCCAGGACATCGTGTTTGGGGAAGTGGATCGATGAGGGGGGGTCCCCGTTCCCTCTCCGTGTGCTGCTGCAGTTTGGGGGTCCCCCCGCCCCCCATTTCGGGTCAAATAAAGCCAAAATCGGGTCCTGAGCCTCCCTGTCCCCTTTGTCACCTCGTTCCCCCTCCTTCCCCATTTTGGGGGGGCTTCTTCCACGTCCTGGGGGCTCCTTCCCCAATTTGGGGGGGGCTCCTTTTCTTTTTTGGGGTCTCCTTCCCTTTCTGGGGTCCCTTTCCCTTTTGGGGCCTCTCCCCAGTTTGGGGGGCTCTTTCCCAAATTTGGGGGTCTCCTTTCCCCTTTTGGGGTCCCTTTCCCTTTTGGGGCCTCTCTCCCCAATTTGGGGGGCTCCTTTCCCCTTTAGGGGTCCCTTCCCCTTTTGGGGTCTCCCCAGTTTGGGGGGCTCTTTCCCCAATTTGGGGTCTCCTTTTCTTTTTTGGGGTCTCCTTCCCTTTTTGGGGTTCCTTCCTCATTTGGGGCCTCTCTCCCCAGTTTGGGGGGGCTCGTTTCCCCTTTTGGGATCCCTTCCCCTTTTGGGGTCTCCCCAGTTTGGGAGGCTCTTTCTCCAGTTTGGGGGTCTCCTTCCCCTTTTGGGGTCCCTTCCCCTTTTGGGGCCTCTCTCCCCAATTTGGGGGTCTCCTTTCCCCTTTTGGGGGGCTCTTTCCCCGATTTGGGGTCTCCTTTTTTTGGGTCTCTTTCCCTTTTTGGGGTTCCTTCCTCATTTGGGGACTCTCTCCCCAATTTGGGGGTCTCCCTCTCCTTTTGGGGTCTCTCTCCCCAGTTTGGGGGGTCTCCTTTCCCCTTTAGGGGTCCCTTCCCCTTTTGGGGTCTCTCCTTTGGGGGTCTCCTTTCCCCTTTAGGGATCCCTTCCCCTTTTGGGGTCCCTTCCCCT